AGATGCTAAAACCTATTTTCATACATCTAGCACACAAGTAACGTAATATCAATTACAGAGGACATATTCCAAGTAGGATACTTCCTTATTTCCCTGCTTCATTAGTTTAGTTTTCTACATATTCATTCATCTTTTAAAAAGAATAAGCTAGCTGGACTCTTTGCTAGCAATGAATATCTAAACGTTATCTTGTAGCTACTAGCTTGAACCTCTGCTTCATTTTAATTTGTTTTTACTTATGCATTATTTATTTACAGACAGGACTATCAAATCACTTCCACAAAAAAAAAAAAAACAACAAACAAACAACAACAACAACCCCACAGAAAAACCACAACTCTAGGGAAGTCTTCAGGCACAGAATAGTTTAGCTTTTCATTTCAGTATTCCAAGACAGCAGCTGCCAACTTTGTATTTGTTACATTTCAAAACATTATACAAGAAGGAGTACAAGAACTAGGGACACAACACTCTTAGATCTATAGCTCACCCTTCATCCCATGCATTATACAGCAGAATCTTCTTCCCACTCACCACTAAAACAGTAATTTATGGAGTGGACAGGCAACAAGTAATTAATACAGTGTGGCTAAGATGCCTTGGTGCAAATCATTCCAAAGAAAGTGAAAAAGCAGGAGTTAAAGATAAAACATATTCAATCAAAATTCAATCAAAATATGATCTAGAATTATTGATTTCAAAAAGCTACTTGGGAGTTTGACCTAGAGCACAATATACCACCTATCCATTAACCTAAAGAAAATATTAAAGCAGAGAGATCTTCAGATTTATCTAAAGACTGACAAAACTGAACAAAGTTATCTCAGAGGAAATGGCAAAAGTGTATTAGGGTTATTTCAGAAGTTTCAGTCTGTTTCAATATTAGGTGGAATTTTATCAATAAACCACCACCACAAAAAGCAACTTAACAGCCCACTGATGCCAAGTTTCAGTTGAAAATATTCTGCAATAAGCAGAATATGAAAAAAAACAATATATTTGGCAGTGTCAGGGTAACTGATAGTAAGGCCTGCTAACAGAGGGATCACCCTAGGGAATTAATTATCAATATGAAAAGTCCTTAGAGCCCACTAACTTCTCCCTTCTCTCACCAGGAACCCTGGCATGGCTGACTGCACCGTGGGCAATGCTACAAACGCAGCTGTACTGTGCCTAGTCCTGAGCGGGTATGTGCGCATCGAGACTTCCAGGCACACGTTCATGTCTACTGGTGACATCTGTACTATGGAAAATACTGAAGATATGCTCTTCAGAACACAACCCCAAATGAAAACAAAGTATTTAGGTCAATTGAATCCACCTGTATAGTGGGTGCTTCTAAAAACAAAGATCTTAAGATCTTAGATAAGTGATAATAATAATAAAAACAACTATAGTATTTTCTGAAATTAATCTCAGTTACTGTTTTTGTGAGGCTTTTTAATTAGTAATTTCATGGCAACATTGCCTCTTCTTCGGAAAGCAATTTGCAAATTAACTTAAGTAGTAGGATTTGGAGCTTCTAACTTCTCCTGTCTTTAAGAATTCCTCTGTTATCTTCTGTTCTCCTACCCTCACTTCTCCCATTTCCACTGAAGAACTTTTGGCAGTATCATTTAAATGGATACCATCTGCAATTAGATATGATCTGAGCAGCACAGGCCTGCTGCCAAAATACCAGCCCCTTAATGCACTCAGCACATGTGACTTCAGCTGGACTGAAGAATTTTGTTTTTGCAACATGTATTTTAAAAACATAAAGACTGACAATTCTTTAAGTGCAAGACAGTTTATTACTGCACATCAATACCTTTGCAACTATAAGGGGAAAAAAATTACTCGTCATCTTAGTTACTAGACCAAACTAAGAGACAATCCATGTTTCGAGTACTGATTTCAAAAGTCCTGTATTTTCCATCCTTCTGACATAAAAACAGAAGTCCCAGTTAGTCACAGTAAGTGCTCTTAACATTGTGGGTTAAAGACGTTTGTAAGAATTCTCTTTTTACTGAGATTCAGACATACACAGAACTATATTCAGCTACACTGTCATTTTTTAAACACTGGGAAACAGTAAAGATGGAGATCTATAGATCTTCATTAAAGGCCTCAAACTTCTATGAGGAAATGACACAAAAGCCACATAAGGTAACAAGTTAATCCTGTAAGACACCAAGTCCACAACAAAATTACACTTTTTTTGCTACTAATGCAAAGTTAAACTGTGTAACAAAACTGAGAACAAGCTTTCTAACCTAGGAGAATGTTCTGTTTTGGTGGCAAGCCCACCATGAAGTAACAGGCACTCCCAGAAGCTGTAACAGCCAAATTCACACAAAAACTGACAAATAAAAGCAGCATGTCAGGCAACAACCTCAGTGGCATCCCGACTTCAAGAATATACTTCATTATAGATGTCAGAAAACACTCCTTTTTTCATACATTCATTACAAAAACATAAGTGGAGTACACCTGTGATACACTTTTTTATCTCTCTCTCTATACTGTTTTCCTAGAATAATCCTCAGTACTTTACCTGTTTCACTATGACATAGTCTCTGCCTATATCAGCCTGATATAGGCTATATATATTGACAAAACTCAGACTTGGACAAAGTTTAAACTCAGGACCCACAAAGGATTTGTAGAATAGCCTGGCCAATAAATACATAAAGAACTGAAGTCCAAGTAACAGCCAAAACCCCTTCTGAGCTATCAGACGGCACACTGTCTCATCAATCCTGTTCATCATAATAGTCCATTAGACGTTAATTCCAAGATAAGGGAACTTTAACTCTCTTGGATGCTTAAAATAGTCACTACTCGACATATCACCAGCCTCTCAGATTTGCCTCTTGCAAACTTGGTCAGTGCACAAATGAAAAATAACTAACTTTCTCAGAAGCAAGATATCTAAGCCTTGATCATTTCACTGACACATTTGAAGGTATGAAGTAGGAACTCCATAGCCTTGAATTACTACCGAATTCCCTTTATTTTGAAATTGCTGCATCAGATACATTAATATCACTTTCTGTAGTCAGCTTTTAGCCAACAAGTTCAGACCTTAATAATGAGTTCAATAATGTAACTGTGAGGCTGGAAAGAATGAGGAATCATGAAAAAGAAAGAAATAGCAACAGTAGTTAGGCCCCCAAATCTAACATGCAGCCTAAAAGCATACCAGAAGAATTTCAGCTTGAAGTTCTGTGCGTCACGCAACTTCATCAAGAAGATTATTTGAAGAAAAGCTTTCTGCTCAGGTTTTCCCCACCAAACAATGCCTTTTTCATATCTTTTATTATATGAACTCTTCTGTTCAACAAGTAAAATTGCATTCTTCTATAGTTCTCCTCTGAGAGGGAAATACAGGGAAAAAATAGCCCACAGATTGGAAGAATGTATAACTATAGCAACTGATGATTCCTTCCCACATTCTGTAATGGCCCCTGATGACTTCAACCTGACCATCTGTCCTATCACCCATCTTGTATCAGAGCCATAGGACTCAAATAGAAGGCTACAGATTAGAGCATTTCCAGAGCACAAAATACAGCAAAAGCTGTAAAGAAATTTCCAACTAGATAAATCAAGTATAAATAAAGTATTTTTCTCCTTTGGAAAGCTGATGCAGTTTCTTGAGAATGTGTCTTTGTAGTGTAGCTCTAGCATTCAGAATCAGAACCAGTGTCTTTTGTCTACATCACATTTCAAACTTACAGATTTCCAGAGATTCACTGCTCATCCTTGTCATTGTACCACAAACAAGCTCCTTCCACAGGGTCCTGGAGTTAAAAAAATCTTAAGCATCTAAAATGCTCACTGTCATGTCATGACAGCAGCAAGAATATCTGTTACAGTGGCACCCAGTAGTGCTACTGTGGTCCAGAGCTTGGTGGCATTTGTTATGGAAGTGCCGTAGTTCTTCCATTCTACACTGGTTTGGTCTGAAAGTTGGCAGACAACATTGGGACAAGGACCTGTTTGCACATGAGATGACTTCTAAACATTTTTCCCTCCCTCATTTTAAATGGAAATTTTGAAATCCAGCCAAAGAAAAAGTATCTTCAGGCAATATCCCAATGTCTGAAGATAAGAACTTACTGCACTGAAAAGTAAGGTCTCTTCTGTGTGATACCTCTCTTCCAACGAAACCATAAACATTGTATATCATTTAAGCGACCATAAGCAGGATTCAAATTCCACTGCTGAAGGAGGCTGAACTACAACCTCAGCTAAAAAAAAGGGACGAGCCTGTATGAAACCTCCCTTGTATTAATAAGCATGAGTAAGTACTCAAGTAATCAGACAGCTAAATAACTCAGTGGAGTGTTACTTCCTACAGCTACAGACAAGATGACTCTAGTCGATTACCCAACAAAAACCACCATAAGAGCAGTCTATAGGTACAGCTATTAGTCTACACACGACCAAAAACACTGCAGCAAATGGTATCAATAAGTTAAGAAGCATGTAAAAAAACCCCTCAATCAATAAATGGTGTGCCCATATTCAGTTTCCCATAGAAGAGTCTTCTCCAGATTAGACCCACAATAACTATTTAAGCACCCTAAAACTTCTAATTGGTTAGGAAATAAATTAGCACTAGACCCAAGCAGGAGTCATACGGCAACAAACATCATGTGATGGTCTGCAACATACCCCTGTACCTGTCAGTCTATGTGATAGTCCCACACATGAAGTTAACAAAAAGGTTTTCACTTAGGTATTCTAATCTTTGTGTAGAATTCTCAGCTCACCACAAACAAACATAATAAACAAGTGCATCAAAATCAAAATACTCCTGATCCAGGCTTTCTAGTCAAATTTTGAGACAATCTAGTTCATAATGACAGCCTGGGAAGAGAAGATTCCCTAAAAGAGTAATTTGAGATGATACAATGTACACAGTACTCAGTTTAGTCTGACAAAAAGAAGAGGCTTAAGCAGAAAGGGAGAGGAGAGAGAAAGAATCCCTTACGAGATTAAAATAAACTTACTGGTGGAATTGCCTTGCATCTGGATGATACATTTGGATTCTTTGCTGGTTTCTCGGGAATTGAAGGGTCGGACCCGAACAGCCACCTTCACTGAAGCCCCCGACATTGTGGTTGCTTATAGTGCAGTTGAGAAATTGAAAGTGAAGGCGTCAAAGAGTATTTCAAATTATCCTTCTTGGTGTTTTCTAAAGAGAAAAACATAATTTAGTTATTTACAGCTATTGCATTCAAGATTTTGATAAAATTACGGAGGTTCAAAATTGTTTGATAACTTCAATTTCTGCTCTGCAATCACCTCCCCTCCACCACCACCCCAAAAGCTGACACTTGACAGAACTGGAAACACACTTAACAGCACCTGTACACTGTCTCCCTAGTCAAAAGTTTCCATCATCGGGAGGAGTTCTTTTGAAGTGTACAAACATACTTGTTTTCACTACTTGGTTTTCTTCCCAGAAAGTAGGGATGCCAATACCAAAATGAAGATCTGGTTGCAACATGTGTTAGGCTTAACCTAACAAAGATAATTTTAGCAGTAACGATACAGCTACTTAGATTTCAGCATGAGATAGCTGCCATACACTGTGTGTCCAGGTTCTGTAGCTGTCAACCCACGCTGCCACAATGCATTACCAATAATATTAAAACTAACACAAGTGTGACGGGCTGTATCACACTGACTTTCAGTACACACCATTCCAGAGAAAAGGGTATACCCAATAACCTTAAAGAACCCTTTGCAGTCCTAAGAAAGTCTTCTTCTCAAAGGAAATAGAAACCTCATCACTACTTGTAGATCTAGTGATTAAAGGATGTAAGGAAGAAGGGGAATCAAAAATTACTGCCTTCAGGGTAAAAATTACTATCTTCAGCAAATGTTCACCACTAAATTCATCCTCATTATCAAAATATTTGTTCAAATCCTACTGCATCCTGGAGGACTTTAGTTGGCAGGAAACTATCCCTGATAGTCACAATCCAAACTTCAAGGCTTGTTCAAGACCGTATGAAACGTAGGGTTAATAAGATTGGTTCAATTCTATTGTTCTCAACCAATCTTTTCCACTAGAAGAAAGTTCTTCAGGCATTCTACAATTAAGCAGTTTAACTTATTGCCACAGGACACTGTCAGTTAAACTGATGTTAAACAGACCCAAAAAGCAATAAGATAAATTCAAAGAAAATACCATCGAGGTCTAGTAAAAACCTACCACCCTTGGCCAGGAAAGTCTTCCTGACACAGACTCTCAGAACCTGGAAGACTATACTAAGAAAACACAATGACAGGATTTGGGGCTAGGTGAATCTTTGGTCTGTCTCAATGCAGTCATTTCTGTCTTCAATCTGAGTTAGCCTGGGCAGAACTCAACCCTGCACAAGTCAGCACGCATGGCCCAGAAATCTTGACATCTTCTTTTCTGGTTATCTATAAACCACATATGCGATGAAATGCTCATTTCAGGGTTGTATCACAGTGCCACAGAAGTACAAAACTTACTAGCAGATCTAAAGTAGAAGCATTTCATCTCTAAAGTTCTACAGCTGGTAAAAATATTTATACATGCTTAATTCAAGTTATGACACATCTTCACACAGTACATAAGTTTTTAATAAAACTGTATTACTTCATTAATGCCATCACATGGTTGAAAGTAGAAATTAAATTACTCCATCAAGTAGAAGTAATTTAACACATTCCTTACTGTAGCAGGTACCTAAGGTATCTCACCAGACGAGAAGAATAGGAATGTCTTTAGGAACAAAGCCAACTGAATTTCAATGTCAGTGGTACAGCAAACTGGTAGAATAACGATTCATGAGACAGCCACACAGTCAGCTTGAGGTTAGCACGGAATTTTAAGAAGTTTCACTAAAAACTTCAACATATAATAGAGCAAAGCAGTAATGGGAATGAATTCACATGATCTTCAAAGTTTAATGGAGACTCTAGGTTGGTTTAGAGGACTGCTTTATTTACTCTTGCTCAGAGGTGCCTACTTTGTTGCATAGCAAGTGTATCAAACATGGAGTTTCATTACAAACCTTCTTCCTGAGTATCTACTGTGTGAATTTTTGCTCTTGCTTCTTAAAATGGCCCTTGTGTAAGTACCTGTGCCCTCACGTGAAAGCTAAGTGACAAGATCCTGATACACCCTAGTAGTATTATTCAACTGACCCTGAATATTGCTGCTAGGGAAGAGGAATGTTACCGTACATGGCCACTACGCATTCTGTTAAAGAATTTAACAAAAAAAAACAAACAAACAAAAAAAAACAAAAAAACAACAACAAACCAATGTGTTCTTATAATATTATTTATGAAACATAAAGGAGCTTATTTTCCCTTCTTACTGAAGAGTCCCACATACAAAGCTTTTTTTTCTGATGTTTTCATAAAATACCTCTCAGAATACTGTATTATTTTCTGCAGAGATAACTAGTATAACTAGGAAACTGGCACACAGAAGACGGAGTGAAAGAATCACCTACTTAGAAAAAAAAAAAACTTCTTGAGAACCTCTGAACACCATATTCACAATAAGAGAGCATGAAAAGCACGCTGCCAGAGACTCCACACGCACTAGCTAAATGACAGTCTTGTCTGAAACACAGCTGTGAAGACGTTCTTACAGAACAGGTGACAGAATCACCTACAACAGCATAAAAATTTAACTGCTAGACTTTTCCCAGCTCTAATTCTTGTGCTCATAGAAAATGAAATGTGGTGTAGTTTTAAATCTCATTCATTCTCAACTCTGCCATTTTGCACAGCTGAACTAAGTAAAACACCTACTTGTGGTTACACATGGATTTCAGATGTTTTGAACTCCATGTCACTATGCAAGATTTAATTTTCATTAATAAGAACATTAACCAAAAAATTATATACTTTTCCAAGCTTCCCATAAATTTAAGTTGTTGGGGTTTTGGAGGATTTTTCCCACGTAACAGCAACTTTAACTGGCTGTAACATTTTATAAAGGCAATATTGCCCTCATCATACGGAATGATAAAATAAGGCAAAATGAGAGCAAGTTGCATAGCACCACAGATGAACTGCAACTGGTTTTTCAGGGTTCACAATTCCCAGTAGTATCATTTACTATTACAAAACACTGTCTACAGAGCAGTAATAGGAGAGGGAACTTGCAACAGAGCAACACAAAAAATGCAATACAGTCTGTGGCACAGATTTAGAAGAACAACCTTTTAAAAAGACAGCTTTTGGTTTTTTTAATGTTCATTGTAGTCTTAGGCAGCTGTCAGCCCAGGAATTATTCTCCCAACATCTTGGAAAGAGTCTACTAGCTGTGCATCTTCTAATGTTCAGTCTGTATGAATCCAGTCAGGAACCAAGAAGGGAATCCTCGATACAACATACCGCTGGCTCCAAAACAGGTGGTAGATAAAACTTGAGTTGTTTAGTGAGCACCATCAGCACAAAAGCAAATCCTACATATTAATTTTACATTTATTTTAAACTGTTATTAAAAGATATCCACCATCCACCCTGTAAGTCACATAGTGAGGTTTAAATATTAAAGTCTGTCATTAAACAAATAATCTAAAAATCTTGTCTGTTTCCTGTTATTCAAACTGACAAACCCAATGATATTGGTCAGCCACCTCTCATGGTATCAAAGCACTTGTAACTAGATTTGGACTTTCACACAAATGTTTAAAGAAACAAGCTGTTCATTAAGACTTGGACCCATGGATGTATCTGAACGTTCTGGCAAACCACTCTTTATGCAATGTCAAAATACAGAACATATTGCTATTTTTTGAAATGAAGTTACAAGCAGAGTAGGGATGTAGAGTCAATTATTTTTATATTCAGAGAATATACTGTTTGTAACAAGTTCAAAGTGGTTACAAAAACGATGTTCAGAATCTGTTATCTCTACATTCAAATAAAAAAAAAATTTAAAAGCCCCAATACACATGAAGCAGCATCACTTTTATTTAACACAGCCAGCCATTGTATCATATTTGCATGGGTATGCCTACCAGAGAATGTGCTTTTAAACAAAAAAACTGCTTGTAACTTAATCAGTACAACAGTTCTGAAGAAAGAAAATGAACAAGGAGAGAGATTAATATATGGCAAGTCAGCAAAACAGCTGTCCAGAGCAGCAGGGGTTTATGAACAAGGGGACTACAGCGGATCCAATTTTAGGTACTCCCGTAAGGATCAGGTAGTGATGACAGTCTGATTTCTCAGCTGGACTCATTCACCACCAATTGCTGTCGTTGTACTAAAAGAAGATGCCAGATAAAACGGTGGTGCAGAACTTGGCGATGCACTGAAAATCTGATCATGTACACACACAGCTGCTTATCAACACACCAGCATTCCGGATTGTGCAACAACAAAAAAACTGAGCTAAGGAGGAGCCGGGATTGAAAAGAAATATACTTTAAAATCTGGTATGGACGTATTTTATGTTTCAGAGAACGGATACAAATTCACCATCAGCTTCTGGTGAATTCTAGCTCTCCGAGCTCGGTTGAATCCCCCCATTCTGCCAACGACCCCCAACCAGCAGG